AGGGAAATGGAAGAACAAAGCAGATGGGAGAACAATTAGGCAGGTTTGCATGGGCTAAGTGGGACAATGGTAAATAATGATGTGTGAACAACCTTGGAACAACAGGGCTCTAGGATACAGAGATTGAGACATGGTTGGAATGGGCAAAAGGGGTAAAATAATGTTAAGATGCTTGGCTGTCTTTTGAATCTTGGTTTCCCTGGCAGACCATTATAAAATAGACTCTTGAGGGGGAGAGAAAGGAATAGCCAGAAATATCACCATAGAAAGCCTGTAAGTCCGTTTTCTGCCTATAATTGATTAGAATACCTAAAATGGGGCTACCACGTGCCCAGTGAAAGGAGGGTTCTTGTGGAGCCTCTGCATTACATAAGACCATAGATGGAATCCTGAACAGCATCCAGAGTCTTCTGAAGTGGGAAACTTCCACTTGAAAGGACAAGCAGACCAGCCTGGAGCGGCTAGAAGAACAGAAGATACTTCTTGAAAGAAAGGCAGGAAAAATACAAAACAGTATAGGCAGACTGACTGATTACTACAAGAATAAGCAAGTTGCTTGCCCAGGACACATCAAGGTAAGTGGTGTCAGGTCCCCTGAGGGCAAACCCCCTTCTAAGACTAAGCCTCAATGGGAATACTCGCTCTGATTGTTGACCATGTTTGTCACCGATAAGGAGAAGTGAGGGAAAAATGGCAGTGAAGCTGTGAGCTAAGCCCTACAATGTTCAATAGATGCCTGTGAACCCGGGTGGAGACCTGGTGGGCCAGCAGTGTGGCGAGACCTGAGGACTCTTGGGCCCAGAGTCAGTGACATAGCCACAGAGGACTAGAGAGGAGAGTAAAGTGTCCAGCTGATAAGAAGAGATGGCATATACATAAGAACACCCACACTTGCAGATAATACCTGGCTTCAGTGACTGGATGATCAGAGCTCAACTAGAAGAAGAAAGAAGAGGAAAAAAAGAGTAATCTGATACAATTTGATGAACTTGACCTACACCTATGGATGCATTAGCTCAAAAGAGGGAACAAATCTTTACAGCGAGGATCATTCCTACCACCTCCATACACAAAGTAGACAGGGATGGGCAACTTGGACATTGGCTACCCAAAATGGGACGGCTACAAAGGCAAGTAGTGACTGGCTTACAGGCTTTCAAGAGGGAACCTAGATTCAGAGGGCATGAAGGAAGGTAGAATGTCCATTGAGTAGTATCACAATCTGTCTAGGCGGGGCTAATGAAAAGAGATGCGGCTAGGTCTCTTGTGATACAATAGTGAATAATTGTCATTAGGTGTAATGGTGAGGGTTGGAAATGTAAAAGGAGACGTTGTATAGCAAAAGGAGGGGAGTGATTCACTTTTCAGTCTAGGAGTGGAGGTCCCTGGGACCATCAAGGGAGAAGAGTGGAGAGTGGGACCCTACCCAGAGAAGCAGTGATGCCAGAGATGGAGGCAGAGACGATGATGTGGAGAGATGGAGCAGTTGGGGACTTTAGACTCAGAGAGGGAGAGCGGCTGTGTGCTGACGACCTAGGGTGGGTGCAGTCTTGCAGGGTATACCCTTTGATTGGTTGATGATGCATGGAGGGGATTGTAACCATGGCAGTAGGATAGGATGAATGTAAGGCTAATGTTCTCCCATGTAAACTATCACATAATTCACAAAAAAAAACAAAAAGCGTAATACTCAAAAAGGAGACATTCTTTATAAGCTAAGTGAAACTATTGTTTGGTTTTAAGAAGACTTTTAAGACTTTGGCTTTACAAGTTTTTAGTTTAAGGTTTAAGATTTAATGATTATCTGAGGACAATAGTTTCAAGGGTTTGTCTAGCTCTCTGAATCCATAAAGTCTAGATTCCATTAGCGTTTGAAGTTCTGTCCTGAATTTTCTTCCTTTTGATCAAGATCTACAAAATCTTTAATCAAAATATTCAGTAGTGATAGTCAGACACCATCCATTTCTTCTGGAGTCAGTTGTTCACGGAGGTGATTAGCCACACACTCTGTATCTTCCTATGACTCTCCTTCTTCTGTTGCTCCAGGTGAGTAGAGACCAATTCATATACCTGGAATGACTGCTTGTGAACTTTTAAGATCTTAGGCAATATGTAACAAGTAGGTTAAACAGAAGCACTGAACTTGTCATTATGTCAGTTAACTGGGATGTTCCATGAGACTCTGACCCTAAACCTCCAGACCAAGGAATTCCCCATGAGATTTTTGGTTGTATGTAAGCAGCCTCAGCAGCTGCTCCATTTCCTTCATTGTTTATGTCAATATGTCTATCATACACCTTTTGCCAATTCAGCTTTTTGTAGGTATACATCTTATTGACCGCAAGTAGTATATAATCAGCAGTGCAGCCCTACCCTTAATCAGTAGTGTATATCCATCATCATTAACCCCCTTTTTTCCTCCCTTCTACCCCTGGTAACCACTAAGAAATTTTGGTCACTGTACATTGCATATTCTTGTCTTTTTATGTAAGTGAGGTTATGCAGTCTTTGTCCTTTTGTGATGACCTTATTTTACTCAGCAAAATATCTTCAAGCTCCATCCATATTACTATGTATTAAGACTTCATTTCTCTTATTGGCTGAGTAGTATTTCATTGTATGTGCATACCACATTTTGGTTATCCATTCTTCTGTTCATGGGCATTTAGGTTGGTTCTCCCTTTTGGCTATTGTGAATAGTGATGTAATGAATACGGGTGTATAAGTCTCCTTTAGTCTCTGCTTTCAGTTTCTTTTTCACCTAGGAGTTGAATTGCTGGTCTCACTGAGATGGATTCACACAGTGCCAACAACAGTGCGCTCAAACATAACAATTGTGAGGATGGTGCAGGACCAGGCAGTGTTTTTTTTTTAATGTTTTATTGTGCATTATGTGATAGTTTACATGGGAGAACATTAGCTTTACATTCATTCTGTCGTATATCGTTTCATTGCAATGATTATAAATCCCCTTCATGCATCATCAGACAACCAAGGGGTATACCCCACAAGCCTGCTCCTCGGTTGTCAGCACACAGCCCCTCTCCCTCTCTGGGTATAGAGTCCCCAGCCACTCCATCTCTCCACGTCATCGTCTCTGCTGGGCAGTGTTTTGTTCTGTTGTTCATAGGGTTGCTCTGAGTCAAAACCAACTCAATGGCACCGAACAACAACATAGTAGCTGTATTTTTTGAGGAGCTACCATACTGTTTTCCACAACTATACTAGTTTGCATTCCCACTAGCAATAGATAATGGTTTTCCAATTTTCCTATATGCTTGACAACATTTGTTATTTTCTGGGTGTTTTTTTTTTTTTTTTTAAATCTTAGCTGTTCTTTGTTGTGGAGTCCTGGTGTGTCACTGTAGGCTAATGCGCTAGACTGCAAAATTGATTTGAACCACAAGGTTGGCGGTTCAAGCTCACCAGCCATTCCTTGTAAACCCTATAAAGGTTGCTATTGGTCGGAATTATAATTGGGAGTATATTGAATCTATAGAATCTATTATAGACAGATAGCATTGAAACTATAATCAGTATAGATAGGATTGACATCTTAATATTAAGTCTTTCAATTTACAAACATGGAACATTTTCCCGTTTATTCTTGTTGTTAGGTGCAGTTAAGTTGGTTCCAACTCATAGTGACCGTATGTACAACAGAGACACTATCCAGTCCTGTGCCATCCTCACAATTGTTGTTACACATGAACACATATTTTTTTCTGCCTGCCACAGTGCCAATCCATGTCATTGGGCTTAGGAGTTCACACATCTCTTTAAACTTTAGACCTGTTAGCCCTTCCTCTTCTCTCTCTTCTCTCAAGAATAGTGGATGTCAATGGACCGTGGCCAGAATCAGCCTTGTCTTCATTGCTGCATTTCCCCAACTTCTGCTCACTCACACTTGACTGTGGGTTTCCTTTAAGTTTCAATCCTAGAAGAGGGTTTCCCCTGGTGGACTAACTCTTCTTGCCTTGATGCCTGCAAAGCAAACAACTGGTTCGCTTCTTTTCTACAGGTCTTTTTTCAATAAGAATCTTCTGTTCTACCAACAGTTCTGGGTTGGTCTGCATGTCTTTTCAAATGGGAATGACCTACCTCAGAAGGTTCTGAGTGGGGCTCAGGATTCCACATAAGGCTATGAGTTGGAATGGCACTTAACAACATCAATGAAATATAAAGTACCCCTTGTTATGTAAGTTCCCAAACCCATGCTCTACAAAGAATTAACAAGAAGCCTATTTCCCTGGGCAAATTCTGATTCCCCTTTTAGCAAATCCAATCAGTTATAGGCTGAAACCAGGCTCGCAATCTTTCTGTTATCATAATTCCCAGTATTTATTTCTATCACACTTAAATATCTAACTTTCTTGCCTTTTTAACCATCTTTTGCTTTCTTCCTGTATGATGTTCTTGATGTCAACCCACAACTCTTTTGGTCTTTAGTCATTAGTGTCTGATGTATCAAATCTATTCTTCAGATGATCTCTAAATTCAGGTGGGATGTATTCAAGGTCATATTTTGGCTCTCATGGACTTGTTTTCAGTTTTCCAGCTTCAGCCTGAACTTGCATGTGAGCAGTTGGTTGGCTGTTCCACAGTTTTCCCCTGGCCTTATTTTGGCTGATGGTATGGAGCTTTTCCGGAGTCTCTTCCTACAGATGTAGCCAATTTGATTTCTGTGTATTCCATCTGGTGAGGTCCATGTGTCAAATCTTTAAATATTTTATAGAACTACCCAACGAAGCAGAGTCCAGGAATGTTTTTTTTTTAGGAAGTTTTTGATCACTGATTCAATCTACCAGATAAACTTCTGATAAACCTCCTTTGTATTCCAAATCTATTACTCTCTCTGATGGTTTTTCTCTTTCCTTTCTTTTGTGTGATTTAAAGGGAGACCATGTTCATTCTTTCAAGACCATGGGCTGGATGGAATTTGGAGAGGTACATTGCTGCTTTGCTGGCATATTTATTATGGCAAATCTGCTGTGTTCCAGGGAGACTCTGGAGCAGGGCCTGGAGTTCTGTCGGCGGAAACAGAGAGCTGATGGTTCTTGGGAAGGGTGAGTAAACCAGAGATCGAGTGTTCTGTCTCAACGTGCTACTTACAGGTAAGGAATATTTTTGGAAACAAGTGCCAGCTAGTGAACTTGTAGTCAGCTACTCTTGCAGAAACCCAGACTTTGACTGAGGCTGCTCCTTGTGTGGCTGAAAGTGTCTCTGCTATGGATCTGCTCCACATGTGGCTATAAGAGGCTCCACTGTATGCATTGGATGCCCTTGCCACCGGTGCCATCTGTGTGACTCTAGGGCTACCACCTTTTTCTTTTTTCACTCTGGTTATTCTTATTTGTGTCTGGGTGGTGGTTTCACAAATGAGCCAATCCCAGGGTCTGGGTGGATGGTTCAATTTCAGTGATCTTGAAGCCTGAGGGGGTTATGAATGCAGCTTGCTGAAGCTGGTAAGCCCCTCTTACATGGAAGGCACTCAGGCTAACTAGAGCTGGTAGTCACGGACACCTGTTGGAGACACTCCCATTCTCCTTCATCTCTCCAGGTCCTGGGGGGTCTGCTTCACGTACGGCATGTGGTTTGGACTGGAAGCATTTGCTTGCATGGGACAGATATACAAAGATGGGTAAGTGGTCTCAGAAGTACCACAAGGAACTTGGGGTTGGGGTGAGATGGGGTTGCTTATAGCAGATGCTATAACACAGGTACTTCCTCCTTTGATGTTTGCTTTGGAGGTGTTTAAAATTTATAGCATAAAAATTTAGCATTAAGCTAAATTCAGCTGTAGCACTGTAGGATAAGCACTGGACTGCTAACAGCAAGGTCAGAAGTTGAAACCCACCAGCTGCTCTTCAGAAACAGGGTTACCATGAGTCAAAACCAACTTGACAGTACTTAACAACAACATGACAAGATCAGTATTCCAGAAAACACCAGCTATGAAACTGAGATCGTGGTGTTCATTCATGAGCTGACAGCACTGATCTGCATTAAAGATGCAGAGCTGTGGTATTGCTCGGTAGAGGAAGCTTCTGGCCCTACTCCTTCTCTCCTATCTCCCCCCCCCCCCCCCCCCCCGGGGACAAAGTCAGAGTCCAGGAGCCCTTATGCTGAGCTGGCTTGCTCTGTGGCTTGCATAGGGTAGGCCAGCATCCTCGACATTGTGACATTCCTGAGTCCTCTCTTCATCATTGCCTGTTGTTGACTGGCTAGATCACATCTTGTTGGGGTATTTGAACTCAGAGTGCCTCACATGGTCTCCTCAACAGCCCTAGGGATGTCGCCATTACCACTTCATAACTGGAGAGCAAGCCTTGGGTGTTCTAGCTGGGTTGAGATCCTGGGCCTTCTCCCATGATGCACCTGTGTCCCTCTGGTCCCTGCAGAACGGCCTGTGTGGAGGTTACCCGGGCCTGTGACTTCCTGCTGTCCAGGCAGATGGAGGATGGCGGCTGGGGCGAGGACTTTGAGTCCTGTGAGCAGCGACGCTATGTGCAGAGCGCCCAGTCCCAGGTCCACTGCACATGCTGGGCCCTGCTGGGACTGATGGCTGTCAGGTGAGAATGGGTGGGGCTGGCCTAGATGGTTGGGAAGCTGCAGGTCATAGGCCCTGGGGAGATGGCCTCACAGTGATGCTCACCTGTTAGAAGTGGGTCATATGACGTGATGGCCAAGCAAGGAAAGTTTGATGCAGACAGCATGAAACTGTGGGCAGTGGGTCACCTGCTAGGTCTGGCAATGACTCTGGCAGGATCAGATATCCAGGGTGACGCAGTTAGCACAGGCTTCACAACCACTTCTTCCCGTACACACACACATGCACACAGACATGTTCGTGCATGCATACACACACAGATCCACAGTGTGCAAGTAGACATGCACATGCAGATACATGCACACAACTCCACATGCAGATGGATACATGCGTGCCCACAATATGCATAGCAGACACAGATGCACACATGCAGATGTACAAGCAGATGCCCATATGTGGATTCACTGCATCCCTGTGTTCTTATGTTGGATTTGGGGTCATTTGAAGGATCTCCCTCAAACCTCCTCCAGATTGGTTTGAGCAGCAATAGCAGCAGCATCTGATGGGAGTTTCAAGGGATAGAGCTCAGCCCCGCTGCCTGCAAGTCCTGTGCTCCTGCTTTCTGGCAGGGCTGGCACTGCATGTGAGCTCATCACTGTGCCCGTGTCCACCTGTGTCTCACTGCACAAAGCTGTGTGGGTTTCAGAGTGTGGTCTGCAAGCATGGGCTTTCCCACAGCTGACCTGAGACCCTACTAATCTCATTTCCAGGCATCCCAGAGTCGAGGCAATTGAGAAGGGCATTCAGTGTCTGCTTCGAAAACAGCTCTCCAATGGTGACTGGCTCCAGGTAGGCCAGGGCTTCTGTGGACAAAAGCGTGTCCATTTCCCAGGCTTCTACCACTTGGTGCACCTGTTTTCCATAGGGTGTAGGATGAGCTGTTGCTCTGGGTACTTGATGGGCCAACCAGTCTGGTTGCTCTGTCCTGTAGCAGCATATGGTGGCGGGTAACCATGGTGTGGGGATAAGAGTGGGTGGGAGAATCCCTCTAGGAGAGCCCTCAGACTGTCATCCTGTGCACTCCTTTATTCTGGCTTCCCCATGGCCCCCGTGATTGGGAGGCTTAAGAAGCAGCCTCTGCAAGGGGTGGTGTGGGGGTTGTGCCTTTGCTCCCTCCTTCAGAGGGGCTTGGGGCTAGAGAGACCAGCAGTTGTGAATGCCCAGGGCGGGGATGGTCAGTGACTGTGAGGGTCTGGAGGCCAGGCTGACAGTCTGCCCGCAGGGGAGGGCCTGATAATAGTCTGGCTCCGGGTGGGGACACCTGCTCCTACCTCACTGGGCTGGTTGGTGGTTGGCTGACCCTCTGTGCTTACCTTGCATGTCCCTCTAGGAAAATATCTCCGGGGTCTTCAATAAGTCCTGCGCCATCAGCTACACATCCTACAGGAACATCTTTCCCATCTGGACTCTGGGTCGCTTCTCCCACCAGTATCCCCAGAGCACCCTCGCCAGACCCCACTGAGCAGGTCTGCGGGGAGTGTGGGGTGACCTCACCAGACTCAGTCCCCACACTCTGAATCTGGGAGACAGGGGCTTGGTTCTGAGGACAGTCTGTCAGTGAAAGGAGCAGTGTGAAACCCTGGTTCTTTAGAAGACCTACCCATTCTAGTACCAGACTAATCAGTGTGGCTATGTCCTTTCTGTGGACATAAGATTAGAGTGTTCTGGGAGAGGGCAGTAGTGCCCAGCCCATCCTGCCATGGCATCCATAGAGGCGGCCCCTTGAGTCTCCTCGTCCTGTAGCCCTCTTTGTGTTCTGTGCCCCTGCACCTTTGGCCTGGTGGGGAGAGGGTACTGCGGGCTGGCTCTGTGAGGGCATTGTATCTGCTCTGCTGTCTCTGCCCCACCTCAGTAGCCCCTTAGAAGCTGGGGGCTGTTGACTGAGGCCACTAGTGAGGAAAAGGGGCCAGGATTCAATGAACTCCTGTGCCACACAAGGAAACTGGGGTAGTGATCCTCCCACAGTGCAACCTAGCAGATTTTGGGGGCTCTTAGCACCCCAGCTTCCAGTTTTTGCAGTGGCCATGTTGAGACAAGCATGCCCAGAGACCAGGCATGATGAAGACAGTGGAGTAGCCACAGTTTGACCACTCTAGGGCATTACTGTCTGCAGGGCAGCCAAGTCATCCTAGCCCATCTGTCCCTGTTCTGATCAGCAGGGCATGGTACCTTCCTTTGACTCAGGTGTCTCAGGGCATGCTCTGGGCAGGGCAAGGTCTAGTATCCCACGTCTGGGGAGATGTCTGGATCAGGGGGCTTTCAAGCCCCTCTGGTTTCTGCACTTGTCTAAACCCCTTGCTTTGCCCCTGACCTGTGTAGGCAAGTGGTTTCCAATGCTAGTGCGTCCTGGATGGGGCTGTGGGGAGCCATCTTGAGGCCTGGGTCTGGTGCCACCCACCACTTACTCTCTACCTAGTCAGCAGACCTCTCTTGCTCTCCAAGTCTGCATCAGCCGTATCTATATGTACCACCCCATCTCATCATTCCATACGTGGATATGATGGCTACCCCTCTGCCCCAGCAGAGATCCAGAGCCTCCCCCAGCAGTTTGCCTTCTGGCATTCCTCACCCCCAGTCTCTCTGGCTTCCCTAAGCAGTGTCTCCACAGACCTGGTGCTCACCTATCTTGGTAGCGTTTGATCAAGCTATCCCTTTACTACTCCCTCTCCGTATTTCTGCCTACGATAACTCTCCTTGGATGTTGTTTCCATGCAGCAGTTACCTGGAGAGTGTGAATACTTCTTGGTCATTTTGAAACTAAGGTTGATTTGACCTTTTGAAACTAGGGTTGTTGGAACTTTTAACCCAGAATTTGTACTTGCACCTCCTCTCCTGCCCATATCTCCCCAGCTGTGACAGTAGTTGGACATCATCTGCCTACAATGGCAGCGGTTGCCCCTGGGGAGCTTCCAACCATGACCACATGACTGTATAAAACATTTTCTAGAAAAAAAATTCAGTTTTGTGCTGAGACTGTAAATAAAATGTTATCAAAATCACTGCCATGATCCAAATGACTTTAATAAACACTTGGTTCCCATATATGGAAGCATGTTGTGTTTTGTTCTGTCTTATCCTGGGGAACAGTCATGATGTAGGGAGCTTTCTGAGACTTGGTGCCATGCGCCTTGTGTGCTGTGCCTACACCAGCTCCATGGCCTCAGTCTCAGGGAGCAGGAAGATAAGCAGGGGGTGTCTCCAGTTGTTTGAGGGGGAAAGATTTGTTCCATTGTGGTTAAAAATCAAGTTTTGTACCCTGGGTAAATCATTAAAGATTCTTGAATTAAAATTATTTCACTATTGGTTATCAAGAAAAGATTTTAAACAGTATGCTGGATGTTTTCTCTGGCGCCATCTTAGCTTTCTGTGTTCACCATGATGCATAACGCTGCACCCATCCTGTTGAGCAATTCTTTAACTGGAAATGCTTGCTTTTCAATTGAAACTTACTTCTAAGAAAATAATAGTTTTCCTTACTGTAGCATAGCTTATATTGATACACAGACAAATTTTATTTAGGCTATAAAAATTTAAATATATTAATACTTTATACTGATGTTGTTTCAAATTATAGTATAATTGGTCAGCTTGCTTTACTTTCGTTTTCTCTCCTGTAATATAAATTTTTAATTATAATTCTCATTTCAAGAAGGAATTAAGGTTAGAAAAATGTGAATTAGGACAGGGAAGACAGATGAAATTACAAAGAAGGTTGTTGTTATGTGCTGTCAAGTCATTTCTGACTCATAGCGACCCTGTATCGGGTTTCCAAGGAGCAGATGGTAAACTTGAACCACCAACCTCGTGGTTCAAACCAACCTTGCAGTCCAGCGCATTAACCCACAGAAGGAGGTTGTTGTTGTTAGGTGCCATCGAGTTGGTACCGACTAATAGTGACCTTAAGGAGCTCTGGTAGCGTAGTGGTTACGAATTGAGCTGCGAATTGCAAGGTCAGCAGTTCAAAAATACCAGCTGTTCCATGGGAGAAAGATGAGGCTTTCTGCTTTCATGAAGATTTACAAACCATGTACAGGGTTGCTATGAGTCGGAACGACTCCACGGCACATAGTGACACAGCAGATGAAACACTGCCTGGTCCTGGGCCAACCTCACTATTGTTGACACGCTTGAGCCCATTGATGCTGCCACTTTGCCAATCCATCTCGCTGGGGGTCTTCCTCTTTTTTTCTGACCCTCCACCCTACTAAACCTGATATCCTCCAGTGACTGGACCCTCCTGATAATATGTGCAAAGTCAAAATGGCCAATACCAGTCCATTTCAGCTCACTAATGCCTGAGATATTGATGTTTATGTGCTCAATTTCATTTTTGACAATTTCTAATTTTCCTAGATTCATACTTTGTACATTCTATGTTCTGATTATTAGCACACAATATATGCTTGAGGGTTTGATTGGCTCATAATAGGCTGAAAATTAACTATTTGGCTTTCTAGGAGGTAGCTGAAGAGAGAACCTAGTTCCAAGTCTGTAAAACAGAAATTCCTGTGGCTTAGGAGATTCATGTCACTGATGGAGGGGATGGGCCCTATGAAAAAGGGAGGGCATGAGGCCAAGCGATCTGTAAGTTTCCCTGGGCTGTTCCTCACAGTCCTTTACACAGGGGCATTTGGTCAAAGCAGACCTTGAGGGGGCCAGTGAGATGAGACCCTGGACATAGCTCTGAAAATTTACTAAGAGTTTGTTCCTCTCGGTCTTACATGACCCTGTGTCTGACTTTTTCATTAGGAATTTCTGGTGCCTGCTTGAGACTCCCTCTCCTCACTTAGGATGAGGATGACATGGAAACATTCAGAGTGTTTTTCTTAGTGAAAAGAATTTACCCATCAGTTTCCGCATGATCACCATTGATATAGATGATTTGCAGCCTTTTACAGGGTTGACAGTGATGTCCCAGACAAGTAGAGAAAGGCTAGATTACCTATTTTTTAAATAGCTTTCAGCACATCTCACAGTCAAGACTTTTTATGAGTGTGAGCAGCAGCAAGCTGAGCTCCCAGCTCCCTAATGCTCCAGCTCTCAGTCCTTGAGCCACCCAGAAAAAGGTGAGCACTAATTGTGGACAGCCAGAAGACTGAAACAAAAACTGGCAAGTGCTGTTGAGTTGATTCTGACTCATAGTGACCCTGTATGGCTTTCAAGGAGCAGCTGGTGGGTTTGAACTGCTGACCTTGTGGTTAGCAGCCCAGTGCTTATCTTAGAGCCACACCACGACTCCTAAACAAAAATTTGACTGACTTATTGGACAATATCAGGTGGTTTAACATGCATCCCACACCTGCCCAAAATGGAGGGAGAGGCAGAAAAACATTCGAGGTAGTCATGCTTGAAAAAATTATCAAATTTGATGAAAATGTAAAGTCCATAGATGGACAAACTCAGCAAACAACTAGCAGAATGTTGTTGTTGTTGTCAGGTGCCATCGAGTCGGAACCAACTCATAGCGACCCCATGTACAGCAGAATAGATAACACAAATAAATACTTTGAGGCATATTATAACCAAATTAATGAAAACCAGTGACAAAAATCTTAAAAACAGACACATGTTAGTTGCTATTGAGTTGATTCTGACTCACGGTGACTTCATGTGTGCAGAATAGGAACTCCATAGGATTCTCAAGGCTGGGGCCTTTCAGAGGCAGATTGCTAGGACTGTTTTCTGAGGCTCCTGAGTGGGTTTCAACCACCAGCTGTTAGGATAGTAGTCAAGTGCTTAATCATTTGTACCACTCAGGGACTCCTGACATTACATGCAGGTAAAGAAAGATAAGGATGACAACTCTTCATCAGAAACATTGAAAAAGAGACAGTGAAACAACATCTTTAGAGTGTTGAAAAATAAAAAATGCGTCAACTTAGGATTCTACATCTGAAGAAAATATCCTTTGGAAATGAAGACAAAATAAACATTTTTTCCAGACAAACAAAAGCTGAAGAGAGTTTTCTAGCAAGCTTACCCTACAAGAAATGTAAAGTTGTACAGGGTAAAGGAAAATTACACCAGATGGGAATTCAGAGCTTTAACAAAGAATGAAGAACACCAGTAAAGGTGGTAAGTGGTAAATATAGGCGGGTTTTTTTTCTCTCTTAAAACGTATTCAAAATAATTGACTTTGAAAAGTAAAAATAATAACTTTATTTTTAACATAGAAATAAGAGATATGATAACAGTAATACAAGGAATCCTGAGGGAGAATGAAGGTATACTGTTGGAAGGCCCTTACCTTGTATGAGGCAGTATCAAGTGTGGCAACAGTAGTGAGATTGGCACAGGATCGGGCAGTGTTTTGTTCTGCTGTACATAGGGTTGCTATGGGTTGGTACCGACTCGATGGCACCTAACAACAACAACAATACTATTTAAGATAAACTGTATTCCTTAGAGTAACCAATGGAAAAATAAAGAAGTATAGCTAATATGCTAGTAAGGAGACAAAATAATCCAAAAGAAGACAGGAAAAGAGGAATGAAAAAATAGGGAGCAGATAATAGATTTAATCTCAACCAACCATGTAAGTACATTTAGTAACTATAAATGATCTAAGCACTCCAATGAAAAGGCAGACTCAATTATATGTTTTCCCACAAGAAATTCTAAGTATAAAGACAAAGACATGCTAAAAATAAATGTTTAGGACAAATACATACCATTAGAACACTAATCATATGAAAGCAGTGAAATGTTTTTTGCTGTTACTAGGTGCTTCAGGTCAGCCCAGTACCCTTCAGTATAATAATGAAACATGGCCTGCTCTTGCACCATCCTCACAAGCAGTCTCTGTCAATCCATCTCATTTAGAGTCTCCCTATTTTCCACTGACCCTGTACCAAACATTATGTTTTCACCACTGAAGGATGGCTCCTAATAACATATTCAAACTAAGCAAGACAAAGTCTCACCATCCATGCTTGTAAGCAGCATTCTGCTTGCTGTATTTCTCCAACACTGATTTGTTTGTTCTGGCAGCTCACTGTGTATTCAGTATTCTTCACCAACACCACAATTTAAATGCGTCAATTCTATCTTCCTTTCCCATTGTCCAGTTTTCACATCCTATATGAGTAGTGTTCTTATAAAAGGAGAAGCTACAGACAGAGAGACAGAGGAAGACTACCATCTAACTATGGAGGTAGATGCAACTGCAAGACAGGAAGTGCTACCAGAAGCCAGGAGACAGACATGGAATACTTTCTTTCAAAGGGAGCTTACAAAAGGAATCAACATGGCTGATATCCTGATTTGGATGTTTAGCTTCCAGAACTGTGAAACAGTACATTTCTGTTCTCATAAGCCACCCAGTTTGTAGTATTGTATAATCATTGGCCGAAATGAAGGGAGATTAGACAAATCCAAAATAGTAGTTGCTAAGTTTGTTGCCAAATGCTATTGAGTCAGTTCTGACTCATAGCAACCCTGTATATGCTCCAAGGAGCATGTGGTGAGCTTGAACTGCTGACCTTACAGTTCAAACCAACCTTGTAGTCCTGGAGCACTACACCAGGACTCCACAATAATAGTAATGACAGAAAATCCGTAAGGATAAACGTGTGAACTACATTATAAGCTAACTTTACCTGATTAGCATTTATAGAACTCTCTTCTCAACAATGGTGAAATACACATCCTTTTGAAATACCTGTGGAGCATTCACAAAAATAGGCCATATGCTGGATCATGGACAAGTCTCAAGAAATGTGGAAGTATTGAAACTATTCAGAGAATATTCTTTTACCATAATGGAACTAAATTAGAAATCAGTAACCAAAAAATTTGGAAAGTGAAAAAAAATAACACATCTCAAAATAACTAATGATCAAAGTACAAAGCACAAAGGAAATGAGATGTTTCAAGCTGACTGAAAATATTACAACAAAATCTGTGGGATTTTGCTAAAGCAGAATTTACAGAAATGTTTAAAGGTTTAAATATTAAGGTTATATGTAATACATATATATATAATCAATGATCTAAGCTTCTACCTTAAGAAGCTTAAAGCCAAAATAAGTAGAAGGAAATAATTAAATACAAGAGCAGAAATAGAATGTGATAGAATCGGTAAACCTCCAAATTAATCTTGGAAATTTAAAAAGTTAATCTTTGGAAAGATCAGCCTTAGTCTGATGTGGCACTGTAGGAGAAGCGCTGGACCGCAAGCTTGGTTTGAACCGCAAGACTGGCTGTTTAAACCCACCAGTCAGTCCCTGGAAACCATACACAGGTGGCTAGGAGTTGGAACTGACTCTACAACAGTAACAACAAGCTGATCAAAAAAGAAAACCTAAATGAGCTGTATGGAGAATGGATCCAGATCCCACAAACATAAAAGGAAATAACACTAACTTTATACCAATATTCTCTTCTTAGATGAAAAACACAATCTGAGTAGCCTGATATCTAGTTTAGGAAATAAATTGAGAATTTAAGATTTCCTAGAAGGAAACTCCAGGCCCAGATGGCTTCACTAGTGAAATTTAGCCAACATTTAAGAAAGAGAGGTGTTGGAATGGTGATAAATGCAGGTGTCTTCTTCAGGGTGAACCTGACCTGGCTGGGCTGGATATGCTGGCCAGGACTTGTCTGTGGGTGACTAGATGCACACTGGGTATCCTAAAGTACTAGTGAATGGCTGCCTCTTTAAGGGTAGTGACATCACAAGGCTGCGGAAGGCTGTGACCATCCTGGAACTCCGTGGCCATCTTGGAACTCGGTGGGCCTGGCTGTTGTGGGGTGTCCATGGTCGGATCTCCACCTCCACGGGGTCACAGGCCCACATGTAACCGCTGAGGCACAGAGGCGATGGCCGAGGGGAGCGAGTTGATGAACAGGCTCATGAGTGAGAATGCTGATCTCAAGAAGCAGGTGCGGCTCCTGAAGGAGAACCAGATGCTGAAGCGGCTGCTCAGTGAGAGCTGCCAGGAGAGCAGCGGCCACACAGCCCGTGAGCTCCTCCTCCCCAGGGCCCCCAGCTACCCAGAGGCCTGCTCCCCTGGGGGTGCAGGTAAGACTTTACGGGGCTCCATAGGAGACTGCCTTCCTCTCCAATCTGAGCACTGATCCTACCCTGGGAGATGAGTGATGGATGGACCAATTAGCGATTACCGTGGAAGGGTTGCCAGTGGCTTACATGGGATTCACGGGTCCTCACAGTTCTCCAGGTCCACTGGACTGCGCGTGGCTGGGTGGTATGCTTAACTGCACTCCTCCTCCTCCAGTTGGATGGACCAGCCTGGCAAATGACATAAGGGTGGCCCGGCTCATAGGCGCTAGGATCCTCTGTTCCCATCTTGTCAGCCCACATGCCGCTATAGGTGCTGCTCATGTGTTGGAAGAAGTGCAGCCAGAGTGCTCCTTGGAGGCCAGGATGGCCAAACTTCGTCTCTCATACTTTGGACATATTGTCAGGAGGGACCAGTTACTGAAGAAGGATATCATGTTTGGTAAGGTGGAGGGTCAGAGAAAAAGAGGAAGACCCCCAGTGAGATGGATTGGCAACGTGGCAGCATCAGTGGGCTCAAGTGTGGCAACAATTGTGAGGTTGGCCCAGGATTGGGCAGTGTTTCGTTTTGTTGTGCATAGGGTTGCTATGAGTCGGTACAAACTCGGTGGTACCTAACAACAACAACATGGTGGGAGGATCTGTGGTAACTGGCAGAGGTGCAGAGGGTCCTTTGAGGGAGTGAGTGAAGGGAGAATAACCTAGTTTACCCAGTATCAATTCTGTTTTCTAGTCTTTCTACAGGGAAGCAGTTGGCTCTGTTTTTATGGTTTGAGGGGATCGCCTCACTTTGTACATAGGAAATAAGGTTTGGGGCATGGTTGCTGGTGCATGACCTTGGTGTTCTGAATGGCTCAGACGGTAGCCAGTGGATGGACTCTCCATCCAGTGCAGCCTGAGAGACTCCAGTGACTGAAGAACTCAACTTCCCACTGGAATTTGGAGGCTGTTCACACCACCCAGGTACAGAGGAACATACCCTATTTTGTCCAACCTGAGATGATGGGGCAGGTGGTCTTGTAGGTGCCTTGTTCCATGATGACAGGCAGGTGGCATTTAGGGTGCCCTGTGAGCCTGCTGTCTTGCTGGAGTGGTTGTTCCACCAGGTATGAAATGTCTTCTTTTCTTGAGGCTGTTTCCAAGTTGGCTACTGATTCATTGGTGATGGGTCCTGAGCCCTGGGCAGCAGAGCACTGGCAGGGAGGCTCTCAGGCCTGGTTGTAAGGCCTATTTGAATGCCTATCTCTGCTCTGGGCACAGTACGCTCCCAATTGGTCATTTGTGCAAGAGACAAGGCTTCCATTCTATGAGGGGTTGCTCCCTGGCGTGTGTCCTGTCTGCTGGGCCTGTGATGCCCAATGGCGCACATGGGGGAAAAGCTATGAGCATGTGTCCTATCCGGAGGGGCTCGTCACAGTGTCTTGATGGTTTCATTCACGAGAGGACTTTGAGGAGGGAATGAGAGGGACACTTGGAAGACACAGATGGAAAGAGGGAAGGGACCCAGGAATTGTCCATGGCCAAGAACTGCTAGCCTGTCTGTCCACAAGCCCACCAGGACTCATGTGGTGACTCCCCCTACATGCCAGGCCAGCAGTCCCAGACCAATACTCAATTGTGGCCGCAGTAACAGTTGCAGTAACACTGAGACAGCTGCCAAGAGCCTTGTACTATGTACTGCCTCGTGTGTTCAGCAGTTCAGGGATTCAATCCACCAGGCTTAACTAACCTCAGGACATACAGAGCTGGCTCAGTCAGCAGCGGCAGGAGCTCTGGGGAGCCCTCAGAGAGGAGGGTGGCACTGGGGGAAGGCGGAGGCCCTTTCTTAGGCCTGCAGGTCATCCCTGCACCTTGGCCCTGGCCATGGTGGGGTCCCTCAGTGCCTCCTTACCCCATCCCCCAGCCATGTAACCTGGTCAGTGCCCCAAGGCTGGGATCTGTCTTCTCAATTCTTGTTCCTTCATGTTTGGCCATCTTTCCTGGGATGCTCCATAGCTTCAGGATGTGTGTGTGTGTCTCTGGCCCAGCCTAGGATGCCATCCAGATCTGGTTACTACAGAGCAGCTTTGGTGAAGCTACTGTCCCACTAGGTTTTCCTGCAGGGATGTGAACATGGGAGAGCTTGGGAAAGGGTCTATTTCTGTCTTGATTCCCTGGTCCTTCTCTCAACACACAGATGATGCCTGAAGTTACAGTGCAGTTACAGGTGTGGTGTCATGTCTGCTTCATGCTCACATGTGGAACCAATACATTTGTGAACTGAGACATCCTTCCTTTGTCTTCTTCCCCCAACCCCCACTGAGGCCCCAACTTGAGTACAAGTAACCACAGGCAGCAGGGGGCCAGCTCAGCTCTGGATGGACAAGGGGAGCCATGGCAGGCCGTGCTGCTTCAATAAGCAGCCTTGGTGTCCGGTCAGACACATGAGCTCAGGGTAGTTCAGGCTCTGGCGGTTGTCCTCAAGGCTGGTCCCAACCTCACCATTCTACCTCATATAAGAGGGTCATCCCAGGGGTGTAGTCTTGGCCTAAAGCATTGCAATTTAGAACAAACACAGCGTTTTCACAGATGGCCAAACAGAAGGGATCAAGACAGCAAAGATTGTTTTGTTTTCTGGAGTTCCTTCACTCCTTGTTTAGAAGATACATGTTTTTGAGCTCATTTTTCTTAATTATACAACAATATGTGCTCATGGTAAAGTCTAAACACCTCCTAAGGATTTAGAGGTCAAGGCTTCAGCTTTGCCATCCTGTTCCATGCCCCAAAGGCAGCCACTATCAACATTTCTCAGGTTTTTCTCTGGAACTTTTAATGGATATTGATCCATAAATCTGTGTATCATTTTGGTTTACTTAAGTGGGACTGTGCTCTTCTGCAATTTTCTCTCCCTTCTTAACCACCCATCTCTGTTCCTGTTCTCCATGGTCTTCCATGGAACTTCCTACCTCACATGAGTGTCTGGAGTGCAGACTCATCCATAATGGGGAGTCCCACTGGTAGCATAGTGGTTATGAACCCGGCTGCTAACCTCAGGGTCAGCAGTTCCAAACTACCAGCTGGAGAAAGATGAGGATTTCTGCTCCCGTAACGATTTACAGCCTCGGAAAACCCTGTACAGTGTTGCACATAGCCACCACCACCATCACCACATCCTATTCAGTGGACCCTCAGTAGGAAAGACTGAGGGTCCAGCTCTCTACCATCAAGAGCAGTTCCAGTGAACAGCCTTGTCTGCACACTTCTGTGAACCATGCAGGGGCACCTTCAAGACAGAGCCTGAAAACTGGGTTCCTGGGACCAAAGCCTAGCCCGTTTGGAAAGTTGGAACAGATGACACTGTGTTACTCTCCTCTCCCACCACTGGGGGCAAAGGGGTGGTGCAGCATTCTTGGACCTTCCTAACACTGTCATGAGTGCCCAAGACTGTTCTATTCAGGCTTCCTTTGCTCAGGAATGCAGCACCTGCAGCATCTTTAAGGGACCAGGGGAACTAATCTTCCTCCTCAGCCACCTCTTCCCTGATTTCTTGTTTCCTTCCAGAGCTTCACATTTAGAGGGGCTTTATTAGGTTGTTATTGGATGTTTCCACACAGAAGTTGTGTTGCTAATCCTAGAGCTGAGTCTCCACCTATCCTCATTCTATTAGGGTCTTTCTTTCCTTAGTGAACTTAATGTATGAACCTGTTGCTGTTAGATGCTGTCGAGTCAATTCCGACTCATAGTGACCTTATGCACACCAGAACAAACACTGCCTGGTCCTGCGCCAACCTCTCAATCATTATGCTTAAGCCCATTGCTGCTGCCACTGTGCCAATCTATCTCATCGGGAGTCTTCTTTTTTGCTGACACTCCACTATGCCAAGCACGATGCTCTTCTCCAGGGACTGGTCCCTTCTGATAACATGTGTGAGATATGACAGATGAAGTCTCACCGTCCTGGTTTCTAAGGAGTATTCTTCTTCCAACACAGTTTTGTTTGTTCTTCTGGTAGTCTAAGGTACCAGTTACCAGTTACTGTCAAGGTGACCTCAATTCATAGAAATCCAATGAGTGTCAGGATAGAACTGTACTTCATAGGGTTTTCAATGACTGATTTTTGGGATGAGAACCACCACACCTTTCTTCTGAGGTGTCTCTGGGTTGACTCAAACCTCCAACCTTTCAGTTGGTAGCCAAGTGAATTAACCATTTACACCATCCAGGGCTTCTGAATTTAAGTACTTGGGAATATTCTCTACATACAATTTTTCCCTGGCTTTTTTCTTTATGATTTTCCCCCATGTTTTATTGTGAGTTGAATGAAGGTTTACAGAACAGATCATTGGTTTTACATGCAGCAAAATCATATACTTTGCTTCTGTGTCTGGTTGCAATCCCTTCCACATATCAACAGTTAACAGTATTTGCTTCTATTCACTTTATTGCATTCCTCCGTGTGTCTCCCCCATCTTTATCTTTCCTCAGCTAACCTACCTCTTGTTGTATATTGCTTATCCTGTCACCCATGTTAATATGTGTCTACCTTCTAGCCCATGAATAATTTCCCCTTTCCCCCACACTTGTAAACATAATTTGGTTGTTGTTGTTAAGTGCCATTGAGTTGTAGAGCTTCTCCTACAGCACCATTATCAGGAATCCATAATCATCATAGATTGTTTCTTTCATCAAGAAAGCTTTTTCTTAACTTTTTACCACATTGGTCTCATACAACATTTGTTGGGGTCTGGCCTCAACGGAGGGGTGGGCTTCACGAAGGTGGGAGGTCTGGTAGGTGAAAGATATAGAATAGAAATAAAACAGACACAAAGAAGACAGACACACAAGTTTGATGCATGTCTGGAAAGGCGAGAGAGAAAGAAACACTCAGAGACCAGAGTGGATGAAAACTGACAGGCAGGTAGTCCTGCTGCCAAGAATGCATGCAGAACTAACTCCACCTCAGTCTTTTATTCTCATTTTTTGAGGAAATCAGTTACAAAAGAGAAAGAAACTATAGGTATTCA